ATATTAAAAATAAATTTTAAAAATTAAAAATATTATGTTGATATATTTTCAATAAAAAACTAATTTAAAAAGTAATTTTCACTATACTTTCAAACATACACAAAAAAAAATAAGGTTATTGAAATTGTGTTTGGTTTTTGTAGGAGAGATGAAGGGTCAAAGATAAAAATAAAAAATAAATATGTTTCTAGTCAATTTTAAATGAGTTTTTGTACTACTAAAAGAGGTATAAAAAGACATTCTTTTTATATTTATTATCTATATTGCTTTTGTTTTAGGATAATAATTCAAGTCATGTAATTATATAAAAAAAATAGTGTACTATTAATTACTAAGTGATTTGATAAAATAAAAAATTATTATTTTTTTGACCATTGTTAGAGAAGAGGACGACAGAAGGCGGAGAGATTATTTGTGTTTTTTTCAAGATAAAAAAATTAAAAATAAATTTTAAAAATTAAAAATATTATGTTGATATATTTTCAATAAAAAACTAATTTAAAAAGTAATTTTCACTATACTTTCAAACATACACAAAAAAAAATAAGGTTATTGAAATTGTGTTTGGTTTTTGTAGGAGAGATGAAGGGTCAAAGATAAAAATAAAAAATAAATATGTTTCTAGTCGATTTTAAATGAGTTTTTGTACTACTAAAACAGATATAAAAAGACATTCTTTTTATATTTATTATCTATATTGTTTTTGTTTTAGGATAATAATTCAAACCATGTAATTATATAAAAAAATAGTGTAATATTAATTAATTACCAAGTGATTTGATAAAATAAAAAATTATTTTTTTTTGTATTTTTTAAAAATTATTTTTGATATTATCATATCAAAATGATTTAAAAATATTAAAAAATTAATTTAAAATAAAAAAATAAAAATTTATTTTATTTATTTTAAAATATAAAAATAAAGAATATCTCAGCATTGAGATAAATATAAATTATATTTTTTGAGATTGTGATGTACAAGGCAATATGGGTTGCCATCATTTTGCAAGGTGGTTGCCATCATTTTGCAAGGAAAAGCTTTAGAAACTTGTGTGAGATTTTTAAGAACACGACAAACATAATTGATGACCCATGTAGGAAATTAAGAAATTCAACTATCTTATCAAACTATGCTTAAAGTGATCAATATTAAACTCTGGTGGACACTTTATCATGGAGATTCAAGCCGAGCACCAAGAATCCATGGAGATCAACTTGGAATTGTCCAGACATCAATACGTCATCACTTGCGTATTTCCACTTTGCTAATATTCTTAAACAGAGTTTTGTTTTGTCATGAAACTATGAAAGCAATCCTTGAACTTTTTGGTTTTTAGGTTTCTGCATAGTATTTTGTCTTCCACTTTGTATTTCAACCCTCCCTGTAATTGGATCCAGTTCATGTCTTATAAAATTATAACGATAAATGCATTGAAATTGAGATGTTGAATGAAAAGTTAGTTATAAAACTCGGATTGAACTGATGGTTCATTTAAGACTTGAATAGCAGATAATTATTATCCTTTTAACTCATGATCCAGGCTAAATTTTTGGTCAAATTTTAAAACTATGTTAGAAATTCCTCCACCATTTGATTGATGATGGATTTGATCATAAGAGTCCCACCTTTGGATCCACTGATCAATATGTTAGAGATCTGCATTTAAGTGGATTTAGCACAATTCATTATGAAAATATAGTAGACAGTGTTACCCAAAAAAATAATGGTTAGAGATGGAATTTTGGTAGTAAGCTAGGGAGAAAGGGAGAATCTGGTGAAATAAGGTGGCTGTTATTCAAATATTGATAATGTTAGGGACAATATAGCAAAAGCTACAGGGAAATTGTTGATTATAAAAGGCAACGGGCTATCAAAACAAAGCACATCGATCATGGCAGAGGAAGTGAAGGTTTTTAGGTCATGGGCAAGTCCATTTCCTTTGAGAGTCATCTGGGCACTGAGATTGAAGGGTGTTAAGTTTGATGTCATATGTGAAGATCTCTTCAACAAGAGCCCTTTGCTCTTGCAATATAATCCTGTCGAAAAGAAGGTTCCTGTGCTTGTCCACAACGGTAAAGCCATCTGTGAATCACTAGTCATTCTTGAATACATTGAAGAGACATGGAAGCAAAGTCCGTTGTTGCCTGAAGATCCTTACCAGAAAGCCAATGCTCGTTTTTGGGCCAAATTTAGTGATGACAAGGTAGTTATGTGGGTGCTATGCCCTTTCCAAAACAAACAGAGGTTTTTATACGGACTAATTCCTCACTAGTTTCTTAACTTTGTATTCGGTTTACTTGTGGTTGCAGGTCTTCCAGTCAATTAAGTGGGATGTACTCTTGAAGGAGGGAAAAGAGCAAGAAGAAGGGATACTTGCATCCTTGCAGAACTTGAGATATTTAGAAGAAGAGCTAAGAGGAAAGAAATTCTTCGGTGGGGAGGCAATTGGACTAGCAGACCTTGCATTAGGATGGCTTGCTTATTACATTAATATCTTTGAGGAGGTAGTAGGTCTAAAACTGGTGGACCAGGAAAGATTTCCATCCTTAGTGGCATGGATGCAAGAATTTGCAAATGCTCCATTCGTCCATGGAAGCTGGCCCGATAGAGACAAGCTGGCTGAAAAGTTTGTTGCCATGCGCGAGGCCAGTCTTGGAAAAGAAACACATAAATGAATGGCTTGTGCTGTTTCATTTGCAGACCTTTAATGCTACTAGAAAATAAGAATAATGCAGAAAACAAGCAAATCGCCGTTGGTAGTGATTCCTGCTATTGTTAGTTAATTCTCTGTGGTGAGCTGCTGTTTCATCCTGAGGTCTACGACCAGAAACTTGTTATTGTCTCTGGTATGTTATCGAATGAAGGCAATAATAAACTTGTTCATTTTATTAGTTACAGATGAACTACAAATTCAATCAGCAAGGCATCCTTGAATCATACACCCTTTTCCTCTGCCACGATGTACAAGATATTCCGGACTATTTCGGTATTGCAGCTAGGCCATCTTCGTTGCTGTTTTATAGCATATCCATAACCAGGAAGAAAACAATAAGTAGTTCAATATTAGACATACCTCTATTGACTTCATATAATGGGTAGAGTACCGTGATAAAAAAACGGGTAGGTATAACACAATCCAAACTTTCCTCAGTTCCTGGCCACACTTTCCCAGGCACACTGACAGATTTTTGTTCTGTGTATGATGCAGCCAAACCATTAAAAATCGGTTCAAAGGGATGCATGGGGTCTTGTCCCGGAAGACACAAAGGCGAGGGTGTTGAAAAGTGCTGACATGGAATTCAAAGCAGTTTTCAGCACTTCAGGGGAGCAACCTGGTCTCACCATTTTTTTCACCTGAGAAGAGATGCACATCCAAACTGAACATTGAACAAACAATAGAAAGACACAAAATCGCGAACAATAATCACATTCAGATTTCAAAAATTCTGATAATTGGATCTAAATGACAGCACTGATGACTGATCCAAAAAAGGAAAAAAAAACATTTGGTATTATTTATGTGCACGCTATACATGGTTATAGAGAGCAAAAACTTACCATGTCAAGATATGCATGCAACTTCTTTATTTCCTTGATATATTCTTGATCTTCTGTTAAAATACCATGGCCGCAAGCCTTCTTGTCTGATCCCGCTCCATCCAGTTGAACAGCACCAGTTTTCCCATGGACATTGTCAACTGATCTTCCAGCAACTGCTTCAGTTATCTGTTAACAACAAAATGCTGTCACAAGCAGCAGAAATGAAATACATTCTTCGCATGGTTCAAGACAACATCTTGCTCTTACAATAATATCAGTTAGCATATAAGCCAGACTGAAGCCACTACCTTTTCAAGGTCCATCATCAAAGAATCCAACTTCCCGACACTAGAATTCCACGGTTGCATGACCCAATTCCACATAAATTTATGTAAGAATTGTTTACTACTTCCTGGTCCAGTTGGCCAGAAGCTTCTAAACAGCTTGGTTTATCATTCTTTTTCAATAATTCATGTCCCCATCCTAAAGCATATAGTCAGACAAATGACCTTAACATTAACGTATCTGACACTGTCCAACCATTCAAATGAATCATTTGAGGTAGAAACAACTCCTTGATTACCTTTACCTATGTTGTACATTAAACTCTACGATAATCTCTCATTCTCTAGCAATATGACAAAGAAGAACCAAGTTCAAAACGTTTGAAAACTATTACTATTAGTAAGTTACAACCAACATAAACTTCACCAAAAATCATACTTCCCTGTGTTTATCAAGATTTTCATTTCAACTAAAGCTCTAATCTTAAAACAACAAAACATAGTAAAGCAAGTCAAATGAACAGAAAATCCTAAGCAATTGTCTAAAACAAACAAATCCCAGAAATAAAATAACATAGATACATGATAAACTAACAAAGCATACCATGTCTATCTCCTCTAGTTGAGCAAAGTTGAGTTCCTTGTCTTCCACCTGCAGAATAAAAAATAATTGATGATGTTCACTGGGAAGAAACTACATAACAAAAAAAAATGAAGACCCTTTTGGTTGTAAAACAGTATCAAACAACCAAATTTGTTGCTAAACTTTTCTGGGATATGAGACTTACCCGTGTTTCAGTTGAGCCACAGCCTTGCAGCGAAGAAGACAAGGAATCCATTCTGTCTTTGAACTGTTTTCTTACAAACTGCACGGGAAAATAAACAGCTATGGGTAAAGTACATGTTGACCCCTGTAGTCTTATAAATATTTTACTTGAACCTCTATTTTTTAGTTTTTCAATTTAAAGTATTGTTTTAAAAATGTTTCATAACTTGACTGCTTATAGTTAGTTTCTAGCTAATAGAGGACCTACCTTACAAACAATACAATTTTTATGGGTTTTAATCAAGGCAGACAATAAA